AGCCACCACCGGAACACAGCAGCATGTCAATTACTGAGGCAGATACCAGTTTTATCTGTAGCTGCTATCCCTTTATGCTGAAATAATCAACATCTTTGGGAAAGGGGGAAAACAACTATAAGAGGACATATTGTACTGCCTACTCCAACAGATTTGTTTGTTTTCCGACTGAAGAAGGATTGCTGTTAAACACTGCAAGATAGTCATGTTCTGTGAAAGCAGATGGGGCCTTTTTTTTTTTTTCTTTTTCTTTCCTTTCGTAAATCCTGGACTGCAACTCCAGTCCCAAAGGGAAATCATATTAAACTGGGTAAGCATTTCTGCACTTCTCTGAATCTAAGGAGGACAGTTCTCTTCTTGCAGTTTTGCACCTATTCTCTGATAAGAAAGGATGCACGCAGGAATCAACTACAGGCAATGGTTTGCCCATTTTTTCTTTTTTTTTTTTTTTTAAAAAAAAAAAAGCAAGAGCAAAAGTCTTACTCCCCTCCCAAACAAACTAAAGCTGTAACACAACTGACACAAAACAGTCACTGCCTGAAAAAAAAGGAAATGAAAACACAGGGCTTTCAAATAGAGCTACTTAACTCAGTGGCATAAACCATCCCAGTTTTGCCCCTATTTAGTGGACTCCTTTTAAATTCTCTCTCTCACTTTTCTGATTAAATTCTCTCAGAAATTAAGGTAAAAGGAAAAAAGGCAAGAGTAAAACAGAACAGCGTATAGAAATAAAGTGCTAATTACTTGTCTTTTAACTACTGACATATTTCGCTGCACATTACAGAGGGGTTTAAATTGACACTAACATTAACAGCAAACTATTACTTACTATTTCCTTAAGCTGAACTTCTCTAACTGTCAAATAGTTAAAGTCATAAACACTACGTAGGAATTCATCTGCCCAATGATTTTAATCAGCATCAAACCAAGAGTTTCCTTTTCCTCATTTCCTCTTCTCCCCTTCTTTCCCCACAAGCCAAGTATTCTCCACATGAAAGCAACCTACAACAAAACTGAGAATGGAGGGCCAGTTCTGCGATGTACTTACTTTATATTCAGAAACGAGGAAAAAGCCTTAACGGCCAAGAAACATGACTCCTTAAAAAGCTACTGGATAGCCCTATTCCCACAGAAAGGTCATTCTGTGCCTTGGTAATCCCTACCAACAAAGAACAGTCTCTGATCGTACATACCTGACTGTATACATGGTTTTGGTCTCATAAAAATGACTAACTTTTAGATAAACCCACTCACTTAATTCTCATGATTCCCAGTAACATTGCATTTGAGGACATGAACCTCCATTTATCCAGAGAGAAGCTGCACTTCACCTGTGCTGTAAAAACTTAACTCCCTGCAGTTTTAACACACCTGTATCACCTTCTTATCGAACAGCCTGCAAGCAGAATTACACCTCAGGCGCTATTCACATAGACATATTTTAGTACTTGAATTCCATTTGGATACCAGAAGCACGGTCACAAGAAGGACAAGTCTGGACAGGGTACTTCCCGCCTGCACAGCTAGTCATCATCAAGGCTGATATTAGGATGAGCAGCATTAGCAGTTTACTTTGCAAATTGTCAAGCTAAAAGGTGAAACCCAATCATTCATACTAGGCAACAAGCCCTGGAAGTAAATCCAGTTACAAGTAACGAAACATTGGAAACATACAGCCCTTTTCAGAATGCAACATAATGCCTGTGAATGTAAAAGGAACAAACACTTACAAAGAAAATAGCAGTGTGCTACATAATCCGAGTGGGTAAACACGTACTATTACACAAGCAATAAGACCGTAATTTTAAGAGGTCACTTTCTAAGGCAGTTGGTGTTTCAGAAGTCAAAAGACTTTCTGCATGACAGATCCTCTTGAAAATTCAAGTGAACCTTTCAAAAGCTTAGTGTGAAAGCACGTAGACCCTCCTTGAAGGAAGCACCTGATTTAAACAACAACAAAAAACAACTTGCCTTTCCATTGTCTGCCTCTTCTTGTCCTGTGTGGCCTAAACTCAGGTACTGTTACCATTCTACTCTGCAAGCTGCTGACACAACTTGCATTAAGAAAGATAAAAATACTTGCCATGGATTTTCTGCGCTTCTGGGTCATCCACGCTGATAGCAATTATCTTCCAATCTGTCTCTCCTTCATCAACAAGAGCTAAAACACCCAAGACCTTCACCTGAACAATCTCACCAGAAGAACGAATCTGAAACAGAACATAATCTCACAAAGATTTGGAAAACACAATTTCTCTTTTACCTTACAGACAAAACAGTTCTACTACGATTTTCACCAGCACCTAACAGAAACGGAAGATGAGCTGTAAACCCAGTACACATCTGTTTAACATCACTAGTCTTTCTCCCATCATTGCTGTTCTTCAACCCTCAATTCTCCAGTCAGCATTTATTTAAGTAGACAACAAGCTACAAAATTTCTCCCTCTCTTCTAGCCTACCTCTCACACACCTTCTTGATCTTCACCCCAAACTGCAAGTCAAAAGTATCAAGTATTCATTTTTTAACTCCTTCCTGCCTCTTGCTCTCTACTTTCAACACTTGGTCTTAATCTATCTCTTGCTGTTCCTTTGTCTAGACCCTAATGTCACATACAAACACATAGCCCTTCCCCAGAAATATCAGCACAACTCTTTTCTTGCATTTTCTTGGGAACCTTCTCCCTACCAGCTAATATTCCCTTTATAACACTTGCTGGATCCCTTGAAATTTAGTTTTAGGTTCGTTTCCTCAAACAAAGCCACCTTTGCTGAGGTCACCCATTAACTTTCCCCTTAGCTAAAACATCCCAAGAGATCCCTCTTCCAAATGCATCTGTTTCATAACCCCATCTTTGATACCATGGAGGAGTGCTCCATTCTTTGCTGCTTCCAGATATGTAGAATTTTCTTTCAGTGAGCTAAACCTTTCCCCTATAAAGTTTTCCTACTAATGGTGTTTGCTGCAACGCTTTTTCATCCGTCTACTCCGTATCTCATAACTCTGCAATGGGTTCCTATCTTCTCCTCTGGAGAAGGTGGATCTACTTCTGCTAGCGCCCATGAGAAAACTCAAACCTACCTCCTTCGTGGGTCTGAGCTTGTAATTTCACGTGTGTGACACTGCCATACTTCCTCATCTTTCAGAAACCTATTCCTAGCTCCCGTACTGCCAACAGGGGAAAAAGAAAGAAATCTTTTCCTTCCCCAAAAATCTTAACCCCCTCCTCCTTTACCCAAAACTCACTGTCCAGCCATGGAAGTTCGGGTGGTGTTCTCTTATTTTGCCTTTTATCCAGTACACAGACTTTACCAAATCCTGCTCTCTTTTTTCCCCTCTTTTTTAAAAATCCACCATTTCCTTACCTTCTCAGATCCTCTGTTCATACTTTTGTCATTCCCTGAGACTATTACCATCTTTTGTTTTCCATCTGCCCTTCTCTTCCAAAAGTTGTTACCAAATTATTAAATTAACATTGATAAATTGAATTAATCCTGGTAAAGACAAACCTTTGAACCTATTTCACAAACATCAATAGGATCATTATCCCCACAACATCCTGTATTGTTATCTGTATGGTTTGGATCTTCCCAGGTCTGTGAAAGGAAAAAGAATTATCAGTTACCAGCTAATCTGCAATTACAGTTGTCTAACCACTAAATAACTAAGACTAATAAAAACGTCAATAAATACATCAGCTTTCTGAGAACAGGCTTGCTCAATGCCAAAAGGAACAACAAACAAACAAACAGCCAACGGACTGATGTTGAGTAACTCATCCTCATACTCAGGACAAGTAACATGAGGATTACTGAGGATGTAGTAACAGAAACACTAACTGCATTGGTGACTCAACAGATACACTTTACCAAATTGCAGGGATTAAGGCATCAGGGGAGCCTGAATATGTATTTTTCTGGTTACTAGCAGTTGTGGGATTAAACTAGGACATCCTACAATTACAGTCTCATCATACTCTTTAAATACCATGGCGGTAACATGGGTTGTTTTCAAAAACATCTAAGCTTTGAGCTAACCAAGCTCCTAGGTATGGATTTGTCAGCACTCAATTAGCTTTTTAAAGTTTTTAGATTTAGGTATGAAATATTTCTGAGTATTTTGAGATGTGTATGTTCCCAAGAACAACCAGCAGCTAAAGACCAAAGAAGCTTCTCCAGAAGGCAAGTTCATATCCCTGCTTTGAGCTCTGTACAAGCAAGGAATCATAGCCAAGTGATACTAACTTAAATACTAAACCACTATTTGTTCTGTCTCTTACTGGCTAGTAACGAGTAACTCATTTTAAAGCTGACAAGTTTTCCCGGTAAGTTGAAAAGGTGTTAGAAAACTTTTTTCCAAGGAGCTACACTGTTAGCTCCTACTCTTCATGGTCAAACCTCCACTTCAAACTTGTTCTTGAGAATTTGACTGATACTAAAAGGCAAGATGGCGAAAAGCAAATGCTCAGGGGTTTAGGTAGCAGAATCGTTACCAAAATATTGCTGAAGTGGAGTCAAGAGAAAATTTCGAGTTAAAACTTATTTTTCCAATATTCTTCCAAAGTGATTTTTATTCAAGGCTGCATTACATCGGTACTATTCTCCTGCCCAGCTGCACCCCTCCTCTGTAGATTTGAAGGAAAGCTTGCTAGGAAAGGTATAGTACTCTGGACAGTACAGCAACTCCTGCAATAAAGATAGTCCTACTGTCATTTTCTTCTTTGTTCCACAGCATAAAACAGCAGCCACAAACACATATCTTTAAGCCATATACTAGGGTGGAACTTCTGGCAACTGCTGATCCTGATTAAAAGTTCTCTTGTGATCATGGAGACACTGAATTAGATTTTGGTTTTTTTACAGCTGCTAGTAGGAATCTGGAGTATCATCTAGACTTCAACAATTGGATGTGTAATGATCCAACTGGTATTTTAAAGTTATTACAGAAAATAAAAATTACAATTATCTCCAGCCCTCTCTGACTCACAACGTAACAAAGGGAGCTGAACATTTCTCCTGGAGAAAGTGTCATCAGTCCAAAATAATGCACTTTGTTAGGGAAATAGTCGAATGTTTAATTTTGGCTTTGTACTAAGGCACACATGAATTTCAAAACATTAAATGGAATTCCCAACTATACCTACTTGGAAACTGTCTACTGAGACTGTTGACTGGGTAAGAACTTCATTGCTATACCCCAGCACCTGCCTGGTAACTCCTCTTCAGCTATCAAATACATAAGCAGATTTTCAGGAGTAAACTTTCATTGCTTATGCAGTTAAGTGTAAAGAAAATACATCACTGTTTTCTAGCTCCACCATGTTCTTCCATACTAATTTAAGTCCAATGTGTCATTCACAGAAATTAAAGAAGTTTAAAACTTTTAATTACGCTCAAAAATTCAGCCATTAGTTGAGCCTTTTCAAGGTACGAAGTTTTCAATGTGTCATGGTCAGTAAAATCTCACAGTTCAGAGAAAAGTTAACTAAGGCAGTTGAGGTTTAATCTAAAAAAGAACAGCCCTTGTGTTCCTCTTTGTTAAAGATATTAAGAAAACTCAATTAAAATTTATGCTGCAATACATGAAAATCCTAAATTAGTTTTTAAAAAAATGCCTTGTTTAAGCAGAAAAGGGCTACTTGCGAAAGTATTCTTGAATGGCAGACCATGACAGTTTAATTCTGTCACTACAGTACAGAGACGCAGACTGAAGATTTGAGATTTCTTGATCATTTAACTCCTTCCTGAAACACAGCACATATTTACACCCACATCCAAATCCTGATCAAAATTTATGGACATAATAAAGCTCAACACAAAAAAATCCTAATTTACAAATGTATCAAAGAGAAACACCCCTGTTGCAACTAATCTGCATTCAGGCAGTACCCAAGATTTACAAGGCAATTTACAGAGAAGACAGAAAACTTTCACCATTATAACAAAAATGTTACCTGTGGGAGGGCACCATAATTCCATATATAACCCTTGTGAGGAAAGATATTTGCCACATATCGAAGCTTGCCTTTCTTTATATCTTGTTTAATGGGATTCAACGGCTCCTCAGTGGCTAGGGGGGGGGGGGGGGGGGCGCAGGGGGAGAGAGAGAGAGAGAGAACAGTAAGATGGAAAGCAATTCATTCTATACCCAAGCAGTTAGAAAGATCCATCCGTAAGCATGTGCTTGCGGTTTGAGAAGTATTAGAAGTACAATGGTCTCACTCTAAATCTCAAGGGTCATGTTCAAAAAGCAGAAAAGCAGCTTATTAAGGTTTTAAATAACATTGTGAAGTATGTAAGAAAAAAATCTAGAAGAGAAAGTCATAAATTTATAAGGAGACTGTCATAGTCAAACATAAATACTGAAAGGAACTCAAGTTAGAAGCTCTTGCACTTCAAAGTACAAGTTTAACAGACATGCAAATGGTGGCACAAGTTCTGACAACAGGGGATTTCACAGCAACAGGGGAAATATTTCATTTTCTTCTCACTCTCTGCTCATTGCTCTCCTATTGCATACATCCCTTCTTTCCATCACCTCTCAGCACACAAATGCTTTTCAGTAAGCACAAGTTCTGCACACTCACCAAATGCCAGTTTAACACAGATTTGGAACAAGTTAAGACAGCACTAGAAGAAGACATTCTTATTCCCAAAGAAGTGCTCACAGAAGGACTGAATCAATTAAAGCTGAACAGTTTATTATTGTCATCATCCTCCCCAAAACCTCAAATACAAACCCACTGCCATACAAGATACCTGCCACACATCAACTAATTCACTGTCACCATCCTTCTGACACTCCACACCACAATCCAATTCATGTTAGCTCGGCTCTTGCTTACAAACTCTCATCTGAATGGCATCACACCTGTTACAGGCTCGAGCGGTACATAGCTTGCATGCATAAGCACACAGCCCTTAGTCCATGTTCATTTTACAACCACCTTGTCATTCACCTAAAGCACCACCACCAAAGCCATCCCAAAGGAATTCCACCTTTTTGAACCACAACAAACTGTCAATAGCATGCACTTACTCCGCAAGTAAACCCTCCCCCAGAGCTGAGATCATGGTTCACACTTTTCTGGTTTCACACTTGATTCTATCTGCCTCTGGCCGTAACTTAACAGTGAATATGTCACCTGGGACTTTGACAGAAGTGGAGCTCAGCACTGCTTTTCCTTGATGTAAACCGGGACAGAGAGGAGTAACTGACAACAGCAGACAAAAGTCTCATGAAGAGCACCTTCAGTAAAATCAAGGGAAGAACAACAGATACACAACAAACTGATGAGGAGATTCGGCACTGGGGCTGTAACAGTGGGTAACATTCATCCTAAGGCAAGGTTTGTTTTCCTACAGTCTCCATTCCATGTGAGGAATCTGAGCACGGAGATGCAGACAAGACCTAGTATTAGCACCTTACCCACAGTCTAGACTGAAGGACTGCCAGGACACTGGAAGGCAAGACAACTGCCTTAACGATTCATGCAGTAAATTTCAAGTACATTAAGTGTTACAGTTTAAAGGACTACATCAGGTCTCCACTATCAAGCCCGAAAAGTCTAAACCCATTGATTTCTGAACCTAACAGGACAGCAAACTTTTCTACCCTTGACATAATGTGCCAAGACAAGGGAGGAAGAGCAATCTGAGTTTTACACAGAGTTTAAATAGCGTTGTCAGAGGGAAACTCTGCAGAAGAGAACTCAGCTTGCACAATAAATCATCATCTTAAAATACAAGATAAATATACAAGGTAACTCTGCTTGCAGAACAACTGTGGTGGTAAACACAATCCAAATGATTTTCCAGCATCAGAGAAAGGAGAAAACAGGCTGAGGAGGATCTTTGGTGTTATTTTTAATAATCAAAATAGTTAATAGCTCAACGACGAACTTCCTTGCAAGCATCTGGGAAGCTTCCCTAAAACTAATACAAATGTTCAGGAAGATAGGACATATCCTGGTGAGATCTGTTGTTTCACGAACACAGATGAAGCATTACTCAGCTTCTATACTGTAACTGCAGAAGAACAACCCACTAGTGCTACTTCCATAGAATCATAGAATCATTTAGGCTGGAAAAGACCTTTAAGATTGAGTCCAACTGTTAACCTAGCACTGCCAAGTCCATCACTAAAGCATGTCGCCAAGCACCACACCTACACGTCTTTTAAACACCTCCAGGGATGGTGACTCAACCACTTCCCCGGGCAGCCTGTTCCAATGCTTGACAACACTTTTTGTGAAGAAATTTCTCCTAATGACCAACCTAAACCTCCCCTGGCACAACTTGAGGCCATTTCCTCTTGTCCTATTGCTTGTTACTAGGGAGAAGAGACCAACATCCACCTCACTATAACCTCCTTTCAGGTAGCTGTTGAGAGCAACAAGGTCTCCCCTCAGCCTTCTCTTCTCCAGGCTAAACAACTCCAGTTCCCTCAGCCGCTCCTCACATGACCTGTGCTCCAGACCCTTCACCAGCTTCGTTGCCCTTCTCTGGACACATTCCAGTACCTCAATGTCTTTCTTGCAGGGAGGGGCCCAAAACGGCACACTATATTTAAGGTGCTAAAACGGGACAACTCTACGCAGCCAACTCTGTGCAGGTCCTGCAGATTCCGCCAGTCCTCCCTGCCACACAGTGAGCTCTGCAAAGCCCTTCAACATCGCTGGGGGCTCCGCGCAGCGTCATGGGGAGCCCCAAGCACCTGGCAGCGAGTGGTCTCTCATGGGAGGCAGAGAGGGGACCGCCTGCGGGCTCGTTCCTGCTGCACCTCCAGTATCCATTACACTAGTGGGAGGAGGAGGAGGTGGTGCACAGGCAGGGCTGTGAGCGGCAAGCAGCGGAGGGGAGCAGCTCCATACACAGAGTGGAGCCCCACACAGCCCCCACCAATGTTCCAGGGCTTTGCGGAGCTGACCGTGCGGTGGGGTGGACCAGTGCAGCATGGCACAATCAGGGAGGACCAGTGCCGCACTGTGTGGTAGGGAGGACTGACGGAATCTGCCAACCCGCAGAGAGCTGCCCCCATGGTTGTCCAAGACCCTTGCAGCCTCACCAGTGCCAAGAACAGGGGGACAATCACTTCCCTACATTTTAAAGTATCTCCCTGCAGGAGTGGATATTTTCAATCAGTGAGGTCCCCAAGTATTTTTTTGTCAGAAGGAAATGCTTTTTCATTTGCAACTCCATTTGTCAGGATTTGGCCAAGACAGGAATTAAATCCTCTAAGTGGAATGCTCTATAAGCAAGCAAGAGGAAGACCAAATGTTGGACAACATCCTATAAGCAAGTACTCTAGGACTCTGTTGCAGTTATGCCCCACTCTGCAATCAGAAAGCGTCAAAAAACAGTGCTTACCTGCAGAAGTGAAACAGAATTAGAACCTCAGCAGTTTTTATAATCTCAAGGAAAGTGTCTGTATGCACAACTTCAAATTAATTTTTTAATAGAGCAAATTTCATGTGTAAGCAGTAACTCACACTCTGATTAAACTCTGACTATTGGAAGCCACTGCATTGTCATAACTTTCATATATACCTATATAAACAAGGTATTTTTCTTAATTACCTCCATTTTTGCATTTGTCCATCGAGGCACTTCTACAATCATATTAAACAGGACCTAAAACAAAAAACAATGACAGAACTGAAAATAAAAACTACTTGGCAATTAGTACTGTACAATGAGACAAATTCTCTCCTCTGTATTCAGCAGCAACTACATCACCTCTCTCTGTTCCACCTGCTTTTACATTAAGTACAATTCATTTAGTTCTGCACAATGATATTCAGCCTCCTTGGTTCATACTTTCCTCACCCCAGCCCTTTGAGAACACGAACAACTACAAGTAGCGGAAACCCACATGATGTTTTTTATTCCTGTACCAATATTACTGTTCATGATATGTTCAGAAAGTCCATGGAATGGATTGCCACAAGGCAGCGGTTCAGTCTACTACTCAAAAGGACTGGACATTTCTATAGGTCAGAGTTAGCTTCCCTCAAACACTGAAAAGAGCAATGTTTTGACTTTTCCCCCCCGAGGATTTATTTCTTCAGGCCCTCCTCTTTTGCCTCATTCGTATTTTTAAAAACCAATGCAACTACAACAACCACTGACATTTCTGATTCTTAGTTAAATCTGGTTGAAGGGACACAAAATTAATCCAAAAGTGATGGCAGAGGAAGGACATGGACACAGACACCTCATGTTTGCATTGGCCTTCTTCCTAATAGAAACAAAGTGAAAGTTGTTTTAAGAAGGGGGATGTGGGAGGAATAAACCTAAAACATGTAAACTTTCATGTTTTTAGAAGAAAAATAAGTAATCTACACCCTTCTTACTGAGGAGGTTAAAGTGATATTTTCCATAGATAAAAACCCTGTGTAACTGCCATAAGGTTTCTTCTTCTGAAGCTGTCAGAATTAAGCAGTACCAAGGAGTAGAGTATTAATCGAAATGGGTAACCAGATCAAACAACCCAGCAATGTCTATAACCTATTTTCTCCTAGATTGCTAAAATAACCCCAAAATATCACATTGTCTGGGATATCTCTTCAGAGCCAAAGAAAACTCACACTGGTATTAAAAATCGCAATAGTTCAGGAGGGGGGAAAAGAGGGGCAAAAAGAGAAAGGTGCTTCAAATCAGTTTCATAACTGTAAGAACAGCTGAAACAGAGAAGTAATCAGAAAGAGAGCTCAAAGATGTCAACACTAAGGAAGCAGACAGAACAAAGCAACATACATGCAGCAGCAGGTAAGGGAAGGGTTGGAAGAGCGCCAAATAAAGTCTGCACATCCATCTGGGAAACAGCTGGAAAAAAGAAATGCACAGCATGAAAGCCAGCGCTGACAAGAAACTCTCAGGGAACTGCCAAGCAGGTCAAAGAATTGTTCTGACTGGTAGCTACATGCAGAAAACTTACAAACTACTGGAATTATACATGATGTCTTCCCCTCCACCACAATCCTGTATTTTTGTTGTTTTGATGCCACCATATGTTTTCTGACCATGTCTAATACAATGGCTTCAGCAGCCTGTAAATACTGGATTTGAGCTTTAATTGGTCAAGAGTTACTCCAGATCTTCACCAAAACAACTCTCAGGGCTGGACAATTGGACTGAAATGAATACAATGCTGTTCTCAAAAACAAAAAAAATCACTTGGATTTAACTCTGCTCTAGGACCAGGCCTTCATAATTTGTGGTATCAGTCAAATGTGAATTGCCAAGAGTCTGAAATGTGACAGCCTGACAGATTAATTTGTATGCAAAAAAATCCCCAAAAGTACTCTCTCTAATGCTAAGCTGCCACGAGCATTTACAAGAGATTAATAACTTCATGCAGTGCTTACATTTTAAAAATAAAAAGTTTTATTTATAGGGCAATCACATTTTCACAGCAATGAGACAGAATTCACTGGTGTGGAAAGGAGAGCACATACTAGATAGTTTGACAGACAGAAAGAGAGAAATAGTATATGCTGCTTATTTAGGGGTTTTTTCCTCCTCTTTGCTATCTTCTTTCCCTCCTTGCCTAAATATCACCCAGGAATTTTTCTATCAATTACACTTATTTTCCCAGACCAAGCACCTACTCCTTCTGACTACTTGAATGTTCTCCCTCATCCCTTGCTGCAAGACTGTCCCTGCCTCAGCTGCAAACAGAAATGCAAGTGTCAGACACCACCTGTCTTCACAGATTACCATCTGCATATGCCATTCAGTGGTTAGTTTCGGATGGTGAATGCATCTGGTAATTGATTTTTTTATCTTTATTTTAAATCAGTAAAACAAAATATTCCACCTCATCAAATCCCCAAGTGAGCACTTCTACTACCTCAAGCAATGGTGAGACTGTTTCAACAGCCCATTTGACACACCTTCCAGTGACAAAAAAAAAGAAAAAAAGCTCTCTTGTGAAACAAAAGCTATTGCTTTGGGAAGTTTACCATTTAACTGCCTGAGTAAGAGAGCAGTCAACTAGTCTGCCTATGAGATCGCTGCTTGCTATAGTCCAGATTTAATCCAACTCTCCAAGAGCCTAATGTAGAAGGGACTCCACTTTGCGACAGCAGATCGCCCAATGGGTCAGATGGAGTAGTTCCTAGAGGCTTGCCTCATGCTAACTCTGCTGGCTGACGGCTTCTTCAGGACAGTCTCCTGGAGCACACAAGAGGAGGAAGCAGCTTCCTAGATTCAGAAAAAGGGACAGAACTCATCTGCTAGGTAAGTGACCTGAGAAGAGCCCAGAGGGACTTTCAAGACAGGGTATTACGTAGCTTGTTTGACTTTGGGTTAATGTGAACACAAGACAGACGTTTGCACTTACACTCTATTATAACTTGAAGAGGTGATGAGGAAAAAAAATAAAAATCCATTTGCTCAACACAGAGAAGTCAAAAGCGCACTTCCTAATTCCTAAAACTGACTATGAAAATCAGCAGAAAATGACATCAGAAGGAACAACCAGTATGTCTAAATTATATCCTTTGTTTCCTAAGAACTACTAAGTACATCACATAGGAACTCACGTAGGATATAAGTGTTTGCTTTATCAGGGTGTTTTCTTTAACGCTGCTTGGCAATTTCCTGCATTTCATTTCAGTTGAACATAATTTTTAATGCATCATGATACCGTTTTTGCAGAGACGAGCAAAATGTCTCTTTTTTCACAAAAAAACAGGAACAGTTTTTTGGTTTTGAAATAAGAGAACCACAGAAAGATAAAAAGATATATAAATATACTTCAGCATATTCATACAGCAAGTGTTGAGAAAAGCAAGGAAAATACAGCCTGTTGCACCCCGGTAAACTGCGAGTCAGCATTCTCTCCACTAAGACTGGTGGCCAAAAATAACTGGTAGCTCTGGCTGTACAGATTCTTACAGAAGACAACTCATTTTGATCAGAGTTATTATTATAAACCTGAGTATCACATGAAGAAAAAAAAAAAAATTAAGCAACTTTCTGACACTATTTTTACAACCTGCCCTTCTGGGCTCCCATACACCCTTCTCAGAAACAATTCCTCCAGATCTAACTTTCCTTTTCTTGTTCAACCATTTCCTTTCCCAGTCTTCCCAAGTTCCTTAGCTGGTGCATTTGATGGGAGGGTTTTGAATAGGTATGATTTTGCCCAAGGATTGCAATACTTAATGCTCAAGTCTGAAGGTTCAGCTAATTTAAAGCAGAAGTGGAGCAACCAATGCAGAGTGAGGAAAGGGACAAAACAAGAGAAAGAAAGACAGGAACAGAAACTCTGTGTAATTTCATAAAATCACAAACATCGCCACTTCTTAAGGCCTGACTGCCATTCACCATGACCCTTGCATGACAGGGAGAAGAGATATGCTACAGTTTACAACTACTTTAATCATTTTTATAGTAGAGTGCTTAAAAAAAAATATCTGAAAGGATTAGAGGCAGTATTTGGGGGCTGCTGACCCTTCCTCACTGAGAGAAGAAAAAGCAGCTATCATTTCCATTTCTTTTCTGCCTGCTCATTTGCAATCTTGCAGGGATTCTCATCAGCCATCACCTGAACATGGCAGCAGGCACCTGAAGACTAACGAGAATGAAAAAGATAAGCTGCAGTCCAGCAACAGTGTAAACAAAGGATGATGTTTAAAAACAAAAAAGAAGAAAAAAAGAAAAGGTGATGGGGAGGAGAAGGAAAATAAGGAATGTCATGAAATACACCCAGAAATAAATGGAGAGGGTCTTGCTTATAAAATGAGTACCCACGTTATAAGCATTCCCAATGTAACACTTGCTACAAGGTATTTGCCAACGAAAACAATAAACCAGATACCAGCAACATCTGGAGACCAAATATACTGTAGCTAAATGAGAAGTCAATGGAACCTTTCCAATATAAATCAACATGCCACATAGCAAAAAAGGAATGCAGTGCCTAGCATAAATGCAAAGTGCCTGCAGCCTCTTCAGTGCACTTCCCTAATGTTACAGTGAAAAGGGAATCATGAACACTATGTAAGTTTTTACCCACAAGTATCCCAAAAGCGGTGTCTGGCATATTCTCTGATAAACTAGTTACTGGACACATTCACCTGCAAAACCACTCCATGTACAACCATGACATGAATGAAAATGAAACACTGACTTTCTCAAGTTTAAGGAACCATTTATTTGAAGTTAAGCTTGATCAAATCCCTGATGCAACTTTCTCAGTAAACCAACCCTACCAGTAGATTCTAACTGGAACACTAAGCAAAGACTACTTTTATTCTCAGTATTCGCTAATCTACAAGAACACAAAGCAAGGTTGGCAGCTGTTGGACACATCCACAGAAAAAGGAAAACTTCAAGCATCAGGATGAAAGCTTCACCGATAATCTAAAATTTGGAACACACAAACACCCTGAACACACACAATGGACACACTACAGCCCAGGTTCCACATACCGAAAAAATGTTTAACGTGCCCAAAGGAGGTTACAGAGGCTGTAGTTATGACAGAATACAAAGTCAGCACAAAGTTTGTACCTGTACTGCATGGGAATTGATGACAGCTTTTCCTTTCTTATGAAACGTACCTACTTCATCATAAGGCAACTCTGACACCAGTTTTGAACATTGCTCCAAGCATAAGGCTC